TCGAGAAGATATTGTGGATTGTAGTATCATGTAAACCTGGGACATCGTGGTACTGATCGCTCATACAAGACAGTGCGGCAGTCATTATACTGGCCAGGGTTTAAAGCACCGATCTCATAATAGATCGCCCGTAGTTTTATCTGCAAGCGAGCCAAGGTGCATGGCGGTAAGCAAGATTATGTATACTTACCGCCAAGATCTTTATGTTCAACTGACCCTATGTAAACATATATTATGGTTCCCATCGGTCTGTAAGACGGATTTTTCGGTATCAAAACGATTGATCAGACCACGAGATGGCACAAGGTCGCAGTCCAACCGGACAACACTGATCTGACCATTGACGAAAGTGTATCAATAATGAATCCGTCGTTACCCTCGACCGGCTCAAGTGAATCACGAACTTGGGTCTAAATTCGCACGCCAAGAGTTTTATGAACCGCTATAGAGCTACGGAATCAAAACAAGCCTATAACATAAAAAAACGCGGGCAAATGCCAATTACGAACGCATCCATGTCGAGCTTCTTGGCATAATCTTGTGCCACAAAGGATTCAATTGGAAAAGGATATCCACTATGCTGCTTATACATTACGGAAAAGCTATCACAGTATACTGAATGCGTCTTCGGGTCAGCATGTTTTTATCTAAGACACGATCGTGCGACAGCTGACGAATCCAACTGGACTTACCTACAGAAGCGGCGTTTAAAATCAATTTTAACGGCTAGCAACCGAGAAATGACGATCGCATCACACACGTCTACAACATCGGGGACCACGTTATGGTGCTTGTCCCCAAACGCCTTTGGGATAAGACAAAAGGTCGTGCCAACTGGTCATACGTCATAAAAATAGTTCATAGCCGTGGTGCAATTACAAAGAATTGAGTTGTGGCAAAGCAACAAGACAGCATCCGCCGAGCATAAACGTGCTAGTCTCCACGGTTCGAAAGGACAGGTCAGGATATTTTCACATAATTCAATCATCTGACATAATTTTATGTGGCTCTTTCAAACGCTGTCGGCGGTGCAACAGCCAGACATTTGCGATTAGGGTCGACAGTCGACTACTACGGTGCGTTTAATTATAAGCGTCGTAAATGTGTGGGAGCTGTTTTGTAGATAGGCCTTAGTATCTCCCCGTCACTTGACTATTCACTGTGACTATGAACGTCACGTAAATAATGCGACCGGTCAATTAACCCATTTGCGTACCAGCCGTAAGTTTTTAATGCTTACTGTTCTATTTTAATCAGTCCAAAGTTTTTTTAGTTTGGTGACATGAATACGGAAGAATTGCAAGATATGATTAAGATAATTATATCACCAAGTCCGGTATACGTGATATGTGACCACAAGCAGTTGGTATTCCTGTCAATGTATAATTTTACCATATTCTCTCCAAAAAATTATGATTGTGACAGCCCTTGGCTGGCAGAGGTTCAGTCTGTTTTTCAGATTGCGTACTGGAGAGGCCACATGGGTACTAAAAAGGTAAAGTCCACGTAAGATAGGGGAGCAAAAACTGGAGCACGGCCTTCGATATAAGTAACTCAGTTCGGAAAACTGAATCAAGGTGTAAAACACTACACACCGTCAGTCACAGAGGAATGAGTATCATGTTCTTAATTTATGATGTAATTAGAACAGGTATACTCGAGCAACGCGATCGGCCTTTGCTAATGATCGTGAGTAGTTGCTTATGTGATCATACTCACCTTTAAGTCAATCACAAGCGTGTGTCACAATAGTGATCTCTCCACAGAGTGACTTGGATATGTTACATACCCGTAAGGTGGGGACAGGCTTGATTGCACTCAGTACGCGTAAGGTTCACCTAGTCGCGTTATATTACCGACACACACAGACAGACACACAGAAAGAGAAGCACAATTTAAATAGTCTGCATTCTTCTTGCGCACAGTAACAAACAGATTCACCCTTCGGGCTCGCAATTAAATGCAGTCCTTGGCGGCACGTTGCCGCCGGTTTGAACGGAAACCTGAAAAATGTTTAACCGATTTTTCTCGCCGTTGCAGCTCTTCAACATTGATGGTAGTCGATTCTGGAGACATCGCCGAATTTTTTCTTATAAAGTGGCGACTTGCGATATGTCTCTCCATGACTGACACATTGTTGACGCGCTGACGTGCACACTTCCATGCGTATAAAATTATATACGAAAGGACGACTGCAACTTTATGTGACGGACATAAGGCATGAAACGAAGGCTCGATAAAACGATTTGTCTTTTGTCGAGGCAATTAGATGTACATTGAGGCGATGAGGGATGGCGATAGCCAAGTTGCACGCTTCTACAGGATCGGGCTGTACGGGTCAATTTTATCAATCCAGTGTAGCACAGCGATCGTGGTTATGGAAAATAAGATAAGATGAGAGCAGATTTGCTGTCTGATCATTTAGCTCAGTTTTTGTAGGCGTCAAGTGTCCTGTGTAATCTGTCATCTGAAAAATAAGAAGCAGGGTAATAAGTGTCCTGGAAAATGGACGCCTAACAAAATTGCTACAACGGCGTCTTAATGTCAATCTATGCTGCGCCAACATGATATTTTTGCATTTGGATAGTCACTAGCGTCGTCGGACAAGACTTACTCAGTTAATTATTCGCCGCTATCAATATATCTTTTTTGATTACTACACCGCTTTCTTTTAAACCCTTACCTATTAATTACCCTTGTTATGTCTCTGTAAAAATTAAGCATTCAAATAGAGAACGTTCATAATATAATTTGTGGATAATTAAGCTTACGATTCAGAATAACAAATGGTTTTAACTTACTTAGGAGGATTTATGAATCTACCAATTACGATGCATTCTGCATAGTAGTTTTGTCGAGTGAAATATAACTACTATTTCACATAGCAGGTGCTATCGATGATGTGGTAATTAGATCCGAAATTATTATCTTGGGGAGCCAAAATATCAATCGACTATTATATTGTTGACTTAGTGCTCCTTATTTGAAGAAGACAATATTTATTTTACATTCTTATACTTTATTAAATTGAGACTAAGATTAATAGCGTAGCCATCGTAAAACGTAATGCTTAGATGGGGTATTGCTAATTAAGAATGCACACTGGTATTAATTTTTAGATTATGCACATCATTTACTGATTAAAATAATTGATTTTTTTGGAAAATAAGTATTTAGTTCCAGACCACATTGGTCATTTTTAATTTAAAGGTAGCTTCAATTCAGGAGATGCTCTCGAATAGTTTAGATATTCGTATAGCCAAATGACCCGGTCAATTCACTTTGGTCGGCGACTTACCTTCAGTCGATTAGTTCCTTGGATACACGAATGGTTCTATTGGAACGGTCGATTCACATTGGTCGGTCACTTTCATTTCTGCTCACACGTCAGTACTGAGATCTACGCACTTAGTACGACCCTTACGGATTGATAGCATTTGTAACGTATGACACACTTTATTACCATGGCATACCGAAAGAAAACCAGATATCTAATCGTTGTGTACGATCATTTTACCTGTACCGGTAAAAAAACGGCTTGGGACCCCTTGACAACCTCCGATTCTGTAGCTGAGAAGACGTGTGCTACGTATGTACGCATAAGAAACCAAATCTGTTTCCGCAAATTCCGTCGCCTTACGCATTGGATACGGTACATACATCTACCGAGTGGCGATGCGGCTAGCTGGAATTCAATGGCGTTGGTAAATGAGACCGTCCATCAGTAAATGGGACGTTTCTAGTGTGCACCTAAAAACTGCACGAGATACCCCACCGGATCGCAAATTTGCTATCGATTCATGAATCCGTGACGAGCTGTTCGTGTGTATAACTGTTATGTCACTCGTGCCAACGTGACGATGCTGTACATGAGCCAAATTACTTGTCTATCTTAGCACGCGCCATATCTCGGGAGCTTTTCATTCAAGCGACCAGCACTCACCAGACGCGCCTCTTTTCTTCTATTCGATGCATGCCCTTGTAAAGGCTATTCGGTTGTCTATGCTCGACGTGGCATGGATTTGCCCGCATCGATGGTACAGCACACAGCCACTTTCTCAAGCTATGGCGTACCACCACGCGACGTCTTTTTTTGCCAACACTCTGTAGTAATGATGGTATAGGGCTTGACCTAATTTCATAATCCATTTTACAGCCATGTCTACATACAAACACAGACTTGCAACCTCATTCATCTCAATGTAACTCATAGCTCCGAGTCGACAATTTTTACAAACAATCAATGACGCATCCCCGATCATAATGGGGAGCAGCTCTGACTCAAGTCGTGGAGGGAGAAGAAGGGAGAGATTCGCGTTCCGCGGCAAATCTTTGCCCTCCCCTATCAGCGAACAGCCTGTCCAGGAAGCCCACGTAGCCGGGCCGTTAAATCCATTGACAGCGAGTCATTGAGGCTACGAAGGTACGCTTCGCCTGATCGCAGGGTTCGTCCGAACAGTCACGTCGTCTCATGTAGTTTTGGCTCCACGCTCTGAACGCACGAAAATACATGCTGCATCATCTTGTCCGAAGTCTAAAGTGAGGGTTCTCTCTCTACTCAGGTGTTTTTTTGCTTACCAGATTCAAAGTCTGACCCGGCCATAATGAGTCCCAGTACCCGTGTGACACGTACACGTGGTGGTAAGCGCATGCCGAACAGAAATGATACGTCTTCTTAACTGGGCCGTCCCGCTCGCAGCTGTTCGGCCCGATGTTCTATCGGGGTCTTCGGCAGTCGCCAAATCCTTCGTAGACAGCTTAATTAAAGGTCCTATCGCCCAGTCGTTACTGTTTTCACGAGCAGCCAGTATGGGCTATAAATAATAACAAAGAAACGCCCCTGGCCGTCCATTTCTACGCTGTGGTGTAACACCGCGGCACTTTGGATTTTGCTTTCTAGGCAGTCAGTAGTCAGTCGGTGGTTTCATCTGTAAATAGATAGACGATAGAGATAGTAGACTCCTCCTTGAGCCCTCAACTGCCCAGTCGCCTACACAATCATGTGCAAAGTGGAGATGAGTACCCTGCCGTCCATGGCCCCCGTTGACGCGCAGGTCACCAAGCCCACGTTTATCAAGGCATTCGAGCCCCAGCAGGATTTCCACTGGACACCAACAGACGAGCCGCATGCCACGCGTCGGAAGCTCATTATGGCGAAATACCCCCAAGTGAAGAAACTCTTCGGCCATTGTTGGAAGACCAAGTACATTGTAGCCGCTACGGTGCTCCTGCAGACATGCTTGGCGCTCACTGCCCAGCACATGTCGTGGCCAATGTACCTCTGCGTCCTCTACGTCATCAGCGGCACAGCCAATCACGCCATGATGATGGGGATGCACGAAGTCGCCCATAATCTCGGCTTTAAGAAGCCCCTGCACAACAAACTGCTGGGCGTCGTGGCCAATCTCCCGCTGGTCGTGCCGTCTTCGACGTCGTTTAAACGGTACCATCTTGACCATCACCGGTACCAGGGAGTCGACGGCGTCGACGTTGACGTCCCAACGGTCCTCGAGGGGAAGTACATCAACACCAAGTTGACCAAGTTCCTCTTCGTGTGTTTCCAGCTGTTCTTCTACGCCCTCCGTCCTCTCTTTGTCAAGTACAAGGCTCCAGGTTTCTGGGAATACGTCAACCTCGCTACGTGTTTCAGCTACGGTAGCGTTATCTATGCCTATGGCGGTCTCTCGGGCCTGCTCTATCTGCTTCTGGGCACGGTGGTTGGCTCCGGAGTTCACCCCGTTGCTGGCCACTTCATTGCCGAGCACTACGAGTTCGTGCTCGGCTACGAGACGTATTCGTACTATGGAATTCTGAACCGCGTCACGTTTAACGTGGGGTTCCACAACGAGCATCACGACTTTCCGTTCATTGCTGGCTCACGACTTCACGAGCTGCACGCCCTCGCGCCAGAGTTTTACGAGAACCTCCCGCGCCACACGTCGTGGGTCAAGGTCATGTACGACTACATCATGAACGACAACATCAGCGCATTTTCGCGTGTGAAGCGCCTCGACCCCATGAAAGACGTTGAGGGGAAGCTGAAGAAGAGCGAGTAACGCATACGATTGCATAGAGAAGGACAAGTTGGTCCGTAGTCACTCATGGCGGTTGATCTACTAGCAGCTTGTGTAGTTTGGTGTATTTGATGATGAATGATGCTTACAAGTTTGGACTGGTTTTTGCCCCGCTCTCAATCGTTGTTGGTGCTATGACAGACTTCGAACGCACGTTAATCATTCACAACATCTTCGTTTGAATCAGAACGGGTGCAGCAATACATCCATTTGTGTTTATCATTGCATCCGTTACACCGGGCGATCATTTCACCGCTGCGCTGTTTGTTCGTTGCTTGGCCAGTCAGCCTCAACCAGATGCGCCCTTTTTCCTTTTGGCACCTGACTGCTGCTGCCTACGGCTGGCGAACTCGATCCACGTTCGGGTTGCCCAGCGTAAACAGTCGTGGCGCGATCGACATGGACATGAGCTCCTGGAAAAGCAGCTTGCAAGAGTAGGGAATGTGGACCTGCGAAATCTGTGTCTTGTTACGGCACGTGCGACACTCAAACGTCATCTTGCGCAAATTGGCAATGGCAATGATCCCACAGATATCGCACACGTGCACACGATAGGCATCCGAGTTTGCAAAGAGCCGATCCATGAGGAAATTGGCCGAGCCGTGTGAGATCAAACAGTCGCGCTCCATTTCTCCCATGCGCAGACCACCCTCGCGAGCACGACCCTCCATTGGCTGACGCGTCAGCATCGTCACCGGACCACGCGAGCGCGAGTGGATCTTGTCGTCAACCATATGCTTCAATCGCTGGTAGAAGGTCGGTCCGATGAAGATCTGTGCTGTCAGGCGACGGCCCGTGTGACCACTGTACATAACCTCGTTACCATGCTTCTGGTAGCCTAGATTATGCAGCGTGTCGGCAATCGCTTGGACAGTCACATCGGTGAAAGGAGTTGCGTCACCTTCATCACCAGTTTGCGACGAGACCTTGCCGAGCAAACACTCAACCAGATGCCCCACTGTCATACGCGACGGAATAGCGTGAGGGTTTACAACGATATCCGGTGTAATGCCCTCCACCGTAAACGGCATGTCTTCTTGACGATACGTCATACCAATTGTTCCCTTCTGTCCGTGACGTGATGCAAACTTGTCGCCAATCTGAGGAACTCGGATGTTGCGGAAGCGTACTTTTGTAAACTTGAATCCGTCTGCGTTAGTCGTAAGCATCACACTGTCGATAATGCCGTTTTCGTGGGAGCGCAAAGCTGTACTCGCGTCACGCTTCTGGTGGCGTTGTTCGAGAGACGAGTCTTCGGACTGGGGCAAGGGTGACGTCTTGCCGATGATAATATCGTTCCCGCTGACACGGGTACCAGGGGCAACAAGTCCATCATTATCCAACTTGTGATAGCTGCCGTGACGCAGACCCAGGCAATTGTCACGAGAAGGCTTTTCAAATTCCTCACAATTGGCACCACCAGCGCCACCACCGGGACCACCGTGTGGACTCTTATTCCGTTCTTGGTCGATGTAGCAGCGGTAAAAAGTAGAGCGGAAAAAGCCGCGATCAATTGCGCTCTGGTTCATGATCAAAGAATCTTCCTGATTGTAGCCCGTATACGACGCGATACCCACAATAGCATTGATACCCGATGGCAATTCACGAAAGTGCAAGTACTCCATTGCACGTGTAGTAACCAATGGCTTTTGAGGATAGTTTAAAACGTTGGCCATAGTATCCATCCTTGCACGGAAATTGGAACAGTAGATGCCCATAGCCTGCTTACCCATAGCAGACTGGTACGTGTTACGCGGTGACTGGTTGTGATCGGGGAACGGAATAATACTGGCGCAAATACCCAGAATCATGGATGGATGAATTTCGCAATGCGTATGGATCTGCGAGCCTGTGCCGACATCCTTAGGCTCCATCGCAATCATGCACACTTCCTCTTCCTCCGTATCAATGAGTTCCACCACACCATCCGTCAACAGATTATGCCAGCAGTAGTTGGTAATCTTGTGATTTTGCAGCTTCACCACCTGCTCCTTCTGCAGGAGTAGCTGGTTGTCTTCAACAATAAACAGAGGACGACACACACGGCCAGCATCCGTGTAAATGCGCAACTCTTTGTTCATCAGGTCTCGAATCACTGATACTTCAGCATCAATATCGACACATCGACGAAGCGATCGCAGCGTACGAATCAACTCGTTCGGTTCGCGATGCACACCGACCCAATTACCGTTCACGAAAATTTTAGTGGAGTGTGGAATGATCTGAGGCTTAATTTCCTCCAAGTTTTCCGTTGCCCACTCTTCCAAGAACTCCAGAATTGGGGCTTGCGGCGAACCAACCGATATGTATGCCATCAACGCCAAATTCTTGACAAGACCGACAGCCTGTCCTTCAGGCGTTTCAGCAGGACAAATCATACCCCAATGCGTGTTGTGCAGCTGACGAGGCTGAGCCTGCTTGCCTTCACGGCCAAGAGGTGTATTCAACCGACGCAAATGGGAAAGCGACGAAGCGTACGTCAGCCGATTGAGAACCTGCGAGACACCAGCCTTTGAGGCGCTCTTTTGCATGCCCCAGTTACCGGTAGCCAGCGAATACCGCAGACCATTTGTGATCGTGCGTGAGCGGATAGCAAGCGTCAAGTTGAAATCCTTGCCGTTGTCCACACACTTCTGCAGAAACGACTTTACGTCCTTTGTCAGCTTTTTAAACAGTATACGAAACAAGCCGCCAAGTAGGGGACCAGCAAGATCCAGTCGCTTATTACCGTAATGATCACGGTCATCCTCGCCTATACGACCGAGTGAGCACATGAGCAACTTGTGCACCACGTAACCAAGAAAGTACGCTTTCTTGGTTTCGTTGTGATCCTCAACACCAACGTGAGGCAACATCTCCTTCTGCAGAATGTCCTGCGCATAGCGGATACGGTCAGACTTGCTCACGTTAATGGCACTTCCACGTCGTCCTATAAAATCCAGCGCGACTTCCTGCTCTTGAATAACAAATGCTTCTTCCAAGGAAGACTTGAATCGTTCCATTAGCTCAGCGTCGGAAAAGTCATAGCAAATGTGTTCTAAGATTTCTCGGTCTGCCACAAACCCGAGCGCACGGAAGATAATGACAACAGGAATGTCCTGGCGAATGTAGGGGATTACCGCCCGAATCTGGTTGCCCGTAATAGCGCTCTTGCCGCCGCCCTTCTGGTACATCTGCACGTACATGGTACTGGTCGGCCGCACGCCGTGTTCGACGTGAGACCGCGTTTCGCAAACCCAACTGTACTTAGACGCCCCGTTCTTCCGGAAACAGTAGACGTGGTTATTGCTCATGCGCTCTTGGGCGATGAGCACCTTTTCACTTCCATTGATAATGAAGTAACCTCCCTGGTCATAGACACACTCATTGAGCTCTGTGAGTTCCTTGTCCGTCTTGTGCGTCAACACGCAGTACTGCGAGCGCAGCATAATGGGCACCATGCCAATAAACTCCTTTGGGGTCTCCACTTGGTCGTAAGGCTCCATATCTTCCAGGTTTGCAGGACCCGAAGGAGGTGCTTGGTACTTCTGACACATCACATCTACATAAAGTGGGGCTGAGTACGTGAGATTTCGCAGTCGCGCTTCGTGCGGGAACATGACGCTCGTCGAGCCATCGGCCTCGGTCATCGTGGGCTTCGAGAGGTAAATCTGGCCGAACGAGATGTTGTAGATCGTGTCCGTGTTTGTCTTGGCCTGGCCGGGCGCGTACTGGGGCTCGGGATTGATGCGGATCGAGCGCGAGTCGTCCACGAGCTCCTGCATCGTGTTCTGGATGAACTCATCGAACGAGTCCAACTGCTGCCGCACGAGTCCCTTCTCTTCAAAGTAGCTCGAGATCACTGCCCAGGCGTCTTCCTGAGACACGGCGAGGCCTGGGGCGAGTCCGTAGTCACCGCCACCGACACCATCGTCGTGCTCGATGTCGCTTTCGACTGGAGGTTCCCAGCTCATGCGGGTTTGGGCCTACGCAATAGGTTTCCAATCGAGAAATGAGAGGAGAAATGGGGGGACGAGGAGATCAGTGGGTTGTTCAGTCGGTGGGTTTCAACCAGGAGATCTGGGAAGTGTTGCTAGAGTAGCTCTATTCGGTGTGAACCAATGAACGGCCTCAAGTGAATCAACCACATCTAGCGAAGTCAAAGCTTTTTCCAGCACTACCTAGAAATCCGACCCGAACCATGTTTCGTCGGGTCAACCCAGAGTTTGACCCGACTGGTTTGGGTCAAATGACCCATCCCATCACACCATTGGTCCTCCTATTGCACTTTTATGCATTTTTACCATAGCAGTCAGCCAGATGTACATTTTTCTCGTGCATTTATAAAAGCTATAACGGAGCGATAAAGAAACTTCCTCTGTAGTGGGTTTTAGCCGAAGCAAACAGTAGGACACTGTCGGTCGCCTTCGCCGACAGCATTCTGAAAGTGGAGGTTGCTGCCAGCACCAGCGGCGGCTAAAAGACAGGCATAGCTTAAACGTACTATATCGTCTTATCGATGAAATGTTTTCACCTGTAATGGGGTAGCCCGTCACATAAAATTGACACCAAACGGTGTTAATAGGGATATTGTCTAGCGTGACACTATCCTACCAATGTTATCCAAGATGGATAGTATTGAAGGACTACTATCCTCCTTTTAGGATAATATTCATGCGCTGCTCCAAGATTGGTTTATATTCGACATACCAACCATAGATTGCCACCAACCGCTGCTAGACGCGCGCAATGAGTGGTGAGCAGGTTTTCGTCATACGACGACGTAGTTTAATATAGTTTGACAAAGACTGAAGTGATATTGATAGCTTGACTATATTTAATACAGTTCTCTTCTTTTTACCTTTACTTAAACGAGTCGTTCAAGTAGATTAGCTTCCTCTGCACGTACTAGTGTACGTGAAGTTTCGTGGCACCCAGACATAGGGTGCCCCGTTACAACTGGTAGCACTTTGTATTCTGTCCAACGACTACTTAGTGTCCGTCCAACATGTTCATGATGGACGGACACTAAGTAGTCGTTGGACGTAGAAGACAACAGCTTTCACGTCACACGTGACGGCTACTCCCACCTGAGTGACTCAGAGTGGGAGGTAGTTGGCCGCAAGAGTGTGCTCATGGGAGAACCCTCCATCAATGGTATGTTGGAGTCTCTAAGCAGAGACCCAGCAACACGCCGCTATCAACAAGTACCTACAAAGGGAACATGTCGTCGAAAGACAGAAGATAGCCTTAGGACAACAGCAAGGCTCTCATCAGTCGATGGGCGGGCCGACGCACACGCGTCGACCCGAACCTTAAAGATTTATATCTCAAGGTACAAGGGAACCGATGAGATTCCCTTTTGAGATGTTCGTCGAGTTAGACGATGCCATCTGGGCCCGTCACATCGAAGGTGACGAGATGCAAGTCACCTTCGCCCTGTCAAATTTGACAGCACGAGCAAAGACTTGTGCCTCAGGGCTCAATCTTCACGACCCAAACGTGTTTAAGATCTTGAAGTCTCGGCTCAAAGAGAAGTTTGAGCCGCCGAGAACCGAGTCCAGAGCACGCTCTGCGCTCTTGAGGCTCAAGCAAGCTGGGCGTGACGTGCACGCTTACGCACAGCACCTGCGCTACCTTTCGAGTAGCGTCACGGAAAGCCCTGTTGATGAGCACACGCTCATCAACGTGTTTATCTACGGCCTTGTGCATGGGCCGGTGAAGACCTACATGTTCCGAGAGGACTTCCATACGCTGGAAAAGTCGATAGCGTATGCGGAACAAGAAGACTTCAGCCTGAGACAGTCTCAGGCTATCTCGTCAAACTATCGTCCGACGAGACGACAGGAGACAGGAGGTCCCGAACCAATGGACCTCTGTTGCATCGAGAGCGAGAACTCTCGCTCTCTGAGTCACAAGCGAACGGCAAGATGCCACCTCTGTCAGAAGATTGAACACTACGCTCATGAGTGTAGTGTCCCGAGCACCGCAACACGTCCAAAGACAGGACGTGATGACCACCGTAGGCCAAGGAAGGGTGCTAGGCGTGGGTCCGACCATGTGGCTAAGTCGCGACAGTAAGTCGGACCGTCAAAAAATGGATAGGGTCAGAAGGGGTGGAGCACCCTGCTGATCCAGAAACGTCAAGAGAATTTGCAGTGCTCTTGACGAATATCGCTCACAAAACACATTCACTGTGTGTTACTGCCCCTAGTGATGAGGAGTCCCTCATCACTTTAAAGATTGAAGCGACAAGTTGAATGTCGCTTCGCACCCTAGTTGACTGTGGAGGCGTCGTACAATTTAGTTTGACGCCAGTCGCTAGAGGATAATAGGATCGACTACGTTGAGCGAGAGTTCCCTCCAACGAGGATGACTGTGTGCCTTTCTACAGGCGCATCCGTAACAGTAAACAAACTTGTAGTAGGAATCCACTACACGATAGAAGGAAAGCAGTACGAAGATGAATTCATCGTTCTAGACTTGAGTGACAAATTTGATGTCATCCTCGGTCTGTCATGGCTTAGAAAATATCAGCCATGGATCAGCTGGCAGCATCGATCCGTGAGGATGCCTGCCGTTTTTTCATCGGATGGCTATCTGATGAACGTCTTGGAGCGTCCACAAGCGTGTGGATGTACTACGAGTAAGTGCGATAGCCTCACTTGTGGTACGGTCATTAGTAAGATTGCACAAGATCACATTGTAGAAGGCCACTGCACTATGGAACCAGCTTCCTGCACCTGTGTAGAGCCACAGGCTGCGCCGAAGGTTCACCACTCGAAGAGATCGAGTGGACTGAAACACGGATGCACACCAAGAAGGGTGCATCCGAGAAGAGAGATATGTTGTTCAGAATGAACAACACGTTGAAGCGAGATCGACTATCAAAGAGTCAATCGAAAAGCAAGCACAATCGACTGGAAGAGAGTCGATCGAAGAGGACGTAACTATGGTAGTACACCTACAGTCAGTACACGTATTGGAAGAAAGCTCCAGCTTTCCTGAGGGTGATAACTTTCGAGATAGTTATGTTGAGGGTGTGGTTCCCCAACCACATGCGGATGTGTTTTCCCAGGAAATCACCGAGTCAGTTGATGTCTTGGTGAATGACGGATTAAGCGTAGGCGCTTATAAACTTGATTTGGTGACGCCCCTGAAGTCAGCTTCGGAGGTAGTCAAGTTTCCAACAATAGAATTTACAAGATTCTTGCGAGATCTGCGTGGTGACAAGATCACGCAGATCTGCGTACTTGTCACAGAGGACGAATAGGATCCCCAACCACCTGCGGATGTGTTTTCCCAGAAATCACCGAGTCAGTTAATGTCTTGGTGAATGACGGAATAAGCTAGGCGCTAATACACTTGATTTGGTGACGCCCCTGAAGTCAGCTTCGGAGGTAGTAACTTTCCAACGCAGAATCTAATTGAATTTTTGAAGATTGTAGTGAAAACAAGAAGGACTTGTCACAGAGGACGAATACGTCGACTCTATTTGGTCGGCACAAGTTTTTGCTGAGAGCGAGCGGGTTCTCGGTAGCTCATCGATGGACAAAAGTGTCTCTGATGAGAAAACCCGGATCTAGCGATACACGTCTCAATCTTGGGAGTCTTTGAGGACAAATTCTTTATATAAGGATTCGGTTGAATTCAGGGATGCTTTCCAGGTATCTGTGCCATGCGATCTGCCTAAAGACAAATGCACTCGGCATGAGATCGAACTGAAACCTGTTTCGACATACTTTTTGATGAAGGAGGGGGCCCCCCCCCCCGGGGCGGGGGCCCACAACAAACAAACACCCCCTCCCCCGGGTGGGGGGGGGGGGGGGGGGGGGGAAGCAAACAACCAAACAACCCCCCCCCCCCCTCTGTGCGAGGCCACAGGAGAGTGGCGGATAGTGCACTGTTCAACAAATTGAACGCTGCAACGATACCGGCTCAAACGCCGATCCCAAGGAAGGACGTCATCGTAGATGGCATGGCAAAGAGTACCATCTTTTTGTCGATGGATCTGATGGACGGATTCTATTAGATCCTTATGCGAGAACGGGACATAACCTATACCGCAGAGAGCACGCCTAGCGGCATGCTCTGGGAATGGCTAGTAATGCCACAGGGGCTAAGTAACGCCCCTGCAATGTTCAACAGATGTGTTATGAATCTGTTGCAATCGGTGCGCTACTTCCTACTGAGATACTTCGACGATGGCTTCGTCCATAGCCGGGCTACGGATGGAAAGACGGACGTGGAGGCTCATAGAATCCACTTAGGAAGGTTCTTACACTAATGAGAGAGCACGAGTTGTTCGCGAACCTCAAGAAGTGTATATTCGCAGCGAACGAAATACCACTTCTTGGCTGCATCGTGGGTAAAAACGGTGTACGCCCTGATCCGGAAAAGACCAAGGCGGTTAGCGATTGGCCTGTGCCAGTCGACGTCAAGGGACTTCGAAAGTTCCTTGGATTGGCGACGTACTTGCACAATTACTCGCGCAACTACGCTGATATGACCGTACATCTCTCTCGTCTGCTAAAAAAATGAGATGTGGTCTTGGCGTGCTGAGTGTCAGCTCTCCTTCGAAGGTATCAAATTAATCTTAATACAATCGCCTGTCTTGGCGATTGCAGACCAGGACAGAACATTCCATGTGGTCTGTGACTCCAGCGATTTTGCAATCGGCTGCGCGTTAATGCAGTACGGCTCAGACGGCGTTGAGCGCATCATCTGTTATCAATCGCGTCAGCTGCAAGCAGCTGAGCGAAATTATCCGGCGCATGAAAAGGAACTCCTTGCCATGAAATATGCACTGGCTAAGTTTCGGGTATATCTCTTAGGAGATAGACTCTTCATTATTTATACCGACCATGCGTCGTTACGCACGGCCGTAACTAGTCCACACCTCTCGTAAAAAATGGCGAGGTGGCTGTCTTTCTTCGCGGAGTACAACTTCTCCGTCGAGTATAAACTAGGACGACTTAATGTCGTCGCTGATGCTCTTTCGCGTCGGCCCGATTTCGAGCCGACTGCTCAACCCAACAGTAGGGGTGATCCCACTATAGCGACACTAACAGTGAGTGTTCCATCGTCGAATCTGCTCGACGACGTGCGAAAAGCATACGCAGACGATGAGTCTCTTCTGCAATTGATAGATTACGTATCCAATTTGTCCATTCAAGCTTTGAAAAGCTTGTCGTCTCAATACCGCTCTTCAACCGAACTGTATTCTGTTCGTGATGGACTGCTGTACTACACAGCAGTCAACGGCGACACAGCTCGCGTCGTCGTTCCAGCTCATAATGATTTGTGATTGCGCATCATGTTTGAGTGTCACGATGCCCTAACAAGTGGGCATCGCGGTAGAGAAGGGACTTACCTCATGGTGAGTCGTGACTTCTACTGGACCCGCCAGTATGAGTTTGTGCGCAAAATTTCGCGCTTGCGCAGTTTGTCAGTGGGTGAAGCCTAGTCCTTTATCCTGTGCACCATTGCAGCCTCTACCGATTCTGACAGAGTGCTGGCAGTCCGTCTCGATGAGCTTCGTCTTCGGGTTTCCCAAAGACGTTCACAAGAATACTGTTATTCTTGTGTTCATTGAATGGTTCAGCAAGATGGTACATCATGTTGCTGTACCGGAGTCAATCACAGCCCAGGGCTGTGCGCGTATCTTCATCAATACTATCTTCCGACTACACGGATTACCCCGTGAACTCGTGTTCAATAGAGACCCCCGATTTACAGCAAAGTTCTGGCAATCCATGTTCCGTTCACTTGGAACAAGCTTGACGATGTCAACTTCTGACCATCCAGAAACAGATGGTCAGACGGAACGCGTCAACCGCGTCCTCGAAGAGATACTTCGAGGGTATGTCCACTCGTTTACGAGCTGGAGTAAGTTCTTTCCGATGGCGGAATTTGCCATCTATAACTCGGTCCGCGCGTCGACAACGCATACGCCGTTCTTCGTGAATGGCCTACGCCATTCACGTTTACCCGCCTTCTTAGAGTGTGACTCTAGTTTAATGGGGGCGTACTCGCTCAAACAAAACCTGATCTGGTTCTTGCTCATCATCCGTCGACAATGATGTCGACGTGAAGGATGCCGATGTTATTACATCGACACCGATGATGATACTGACGATGATGATGCTGGTATATTCAGCATCGCTAATGACTGCTTGACAGTGAGGAAGATGACGCCCTCACTGACGAAGATAACGTTCTTTCAGCAGTGCACGCGAAGCGCACTGCTGTTAACAAGGATGAATCAGCAGAGATGTTTCTGCTGACTCGCTAAGCGTTTGTCCGCTTCGTTTAAGACTCAATTGCAGATGCATTAGACAGACAGAAGAGAAACGCAGACAAACATGGAAGAGCAAATATTCTTTCATTCATAAATAAATTTAGTTTTACTGTCTACGATATACTTACCGAAACACGCAGTGACAAATGTGGGCAGCAGTAAATTCTGCCCTAGTACATCGGTCCACTTCGTGTGTTGTGCCGAATGGGCAACGCATACACTATTGAACTGCCCCGTAAGATGCGTACGTATCCTACGTTGTATGTCGGTCGACTTCGCCCGTACTATCAGTACGAGCCCGTTTCGAGATGCGAACAACACCTCCGCGGTCTAGAGCCGAGACCACCTTCGAGTGGTCCCGTTTCAGCAAGCTAGTCTGGAAGACTAGCGAAGCGACCTGCTCACGCAGTTGAGGGATGTCTCGACGAGCTACAGCCAGCTCGTCACGAAGAGAACTAGTCGAACGTTCGCTCTCAAGTTACGCAAACGCTTAAGATGCACGATCGTCCGAGCGATCGTGCGTTAGGTAATCTTAATTATCCTTTACAAGGTCATTAAGCTCATCACTCCAAGTCCGTTTGTGAGCCAGATCATCTTGTAGCTGTTCCGTAACACGGTTCAGCTCTTAAACATCAATTTGATCCGACCCTCGAGCCGTTCAAGTGTTTCCACTGCCACCACATCCTTTGGTACAATCAAGCGGTGGTCAGCGCTTTCTGGTGGAGCGTATTTTGAACCACCGCGATGTGAATGGCGTCCGGACGAGTTACCTTGTCCGCTG